TACACCGACATTGCGACATGGGATACAGTGCCTACCAGCTTTAATTTTCATTGTGTGTGTCGAACAATATCTACACCTGCTTTTGCTTCACATGTATAAATTATTATTTGTATGGCCACTGTCAAAAGTGTCGTTTGCAATAATATCATTCGCCTAAACACATGTTTGTATATCACTATATTTTGGAAGAGAATTAGCTAGCATGATGAAACAATTAATGCATTAGTTAGTTACTGATCAGTGAAGATAAATAGATAATAACAACAGCATCCATTGATTATTGGAGAATGCTACCATACCATCCCGTTACGGGATGGTTCTGTTGCTTTTGTTAACCATAGACTATATACACATTACTAGATTATATGTATATCTATCGTTACAAAAGACAACAAAACCATACTGCTACGGGATGATAGCATTCCCCTTGATTATTAATGCAACATATTAAATAAAAGGGTAAATAATTCTTTCCAACCTTTACTATACGTGCTTTTGAGATTTTCAACCTAAAGTATTTTTTTGGTAAAATGCAACCTGAACTACATATATATAATTATTTGCACGCTCGACTACTTTTTGACCGTCCGATCAACAGCAAAAAAGGACACGTGTATGGTCAAGATGTGGTTGAGCGTGCAAATAGTGATTGTATATATAGTTCAGGTTGTATTTTACAACAAATAATACTTTAGGTTGAAAATCCCGAAAACACGTATAGTACAAGTTGGAAAATATTATTTACCCTAAATAAAATTCAACATTTGTATCTCAAAATTTAGATATAGACACAGTTAAAATAATTTATTAATAACAAAAGATAATGCAAAAAATCCTACCCTCACATATCATGTATAATAATAAATTCAAAACGTAAATAAAAGTCCATAATGCATAAAATAACTTTCCTAAATATTTTATATACAAGTGCATGGTTGAGGTTTACATGATCCCATCCTTATTGCGTCTCCTAAATCACTTGTAATATATATCTCTATCCGACATCAAGTCGTTTAATTTCATTCATATATATATGATATACTTGTATAAACAACTATGTGCAGCTCACACTGCTACACTAGTGTTTGATACACGAGTTTATTTTAAATAAATCTAATATTGCAATTTTAGAAAACTAATTAAAAATTTGAATAAAAACTTCTACATTTTTAAAAACTACTTTTTATCAATGTTCTAAAACTCGGTCTAGGAAGCACTTGGGTGCCCCTATTTTCGTCTGGAGACCATTCTAGGCACTCGGGCAATTACTACGCGGTTCAGACGGTTTCGAAGTTTAATCACACTTAGGCGGTCAAGGTGGTTCAAACGTCACCTAGGTGCTCGTATAGTTTTTTCTATTTTTTTTTTAAATATAATAAAAATATATTTAATTTTTATAAATTCCTAGCATAATAGTTATAAAAGCGAAAAATAATCTAGTAAATCAATATAATAATTATAGATATATGATATTTTTATAAGTCTTTGTATGTAACCATATAAATTAGTATATTTTATAAAACTATATTTTGCAAGTTGAAGATAAACATAAAAAAAAAGGTATTAATAGTTGTAATTACATTGTGCATTCGAAAAATAAAAGTTGAGATATTGCTAAATTTATTAATATATTTATAATTTATTACAACCACATATCACCATTGAAGATCCTCTAAAATAACATATATATTTGTTAGAAATTTCATATTATTTTCATAAATATGTATTATTATCAACCAATTAAAATGATTACGATGTCTTATTTGTCACTATATATCACGATTTGAGGCGCAATTAAGGGGATCTATAGAAGACCAAACAGTGGACCCCACCCGACCACATTACTAGACGGGCACGTCTCAAATTGTGGCCGGTGGACCATATTGTCTGGTTAACCAATATTGGCCATTCTTTACAGTCCATTGTAGGGTCGTTCTTCAATCAATAATTCTCATTTAAATATTTATTATTCAAATTACCGTTATTATTTAAATTGATACAAAATTAGGAATTATGGAACCGAAACATTCACCTGTGACAAAGGGTAAAAACCTCAAGAGCAAAATTTGCAAATGCTCAACCTTTTTCAGAAACCAGTACTATACTGTATACATATTACATATATGCTCTATTTTATTTACTACTATAGTACTACACACCAAGCCCTCTTTCCATCATCATACTCCTAACCCTCTCCGCATCCCCATCGCGCCCCGCCTCGCGGTAAATCTCGATTAGAAGCTCGAAATTACGCTCCACGTCGGGCTCCAGCTCAAACAATCGGGCCCCCGCAATGCCCCCGACATCCGCATCCCCGTGAAGGTAACATCCGTAGAGCAGAGCTCCCCATGCAGTGGGCCCCGCCTCCTCGTCTCCCATCTTTTCCACTATAAACTCGTACGCCTCGCCGATCAAACCCGCCCTCCCGTATAGATTCACCATGCACGCATAATGCTCCGCGCACGGACGCACACCGTACTTCTCTTCCATTTCCGAGAAGATCCTCTCCCCTTCCCTCACCTTCCCGAGACGAGCGCATGCGGACAATAAAGACACGAACGTGATTCCGTCGGGAGACACGTCGGAATATTCCGTCATCCGATTGAAGTACTCAAGGGCCAACTGATCGTTCGTGTGTGCCGAGATCACGGAATTCCAAGACACGACGTCCTTTTTCGGCATGCGCTCGAACAACCATCTCGCCCGTCCCGAAATTCTCCGGCCCGAGTAGAAAACGATCAACGAATTCGCCACCGACAAATCCCAATCCAACCCCCTACGCACGGCCCAACCGTGGATTTGCGTCCCGATTCGATAGTGGGGCCCGCCCGTGAGGACAGCAGACATTGTGACCGGGTCGGGCTCACATCCTTCCTCCACCATCTTCCGCAACACGGACCACGCTTTCGAAACTAGTCCGTGCTTTAGATACCCGTTGATCATCGAGTTCCACGTAACCAACTCTTTCCACTCGATCGCGTCGAAAACCCTCCTCGCTCGGGAAATGTTGCCGCACTTTGCGTACATGTCGACGAGCGCGTTCGCCACGAACGCGTTTTTCGAGAAACCCAATTTGATGACGTGGCGGTGGATTTCTTCCCCGACCCGAACCGAACCGAGCCCTCCGCACGCTTTGAGAGCCCGGGGAAAAGTGTGCTGGTCGGGGCACACTCCCTCCTCAGCCATCTGGAAGTAGAGAGCCAGGGCGTCCTCGTGCGAGCCGGCGTCCGTGTATCCCGAGATGAGGGAGTTCCATACGAAGGTGCTTCGGTCGGGCATTTGGTCGAACATCTCGTGTGCATTCTCGAGTTGGCCCGTGCTGGCGTAGAGGCGGAGGAGCTTGGAGGCTACGCCCTCGTTCTTGCGGAGGAGAGTTTCGGGTATGAGCTTGTGGATCCTGAGACCGTGGTGAAGGGATTTCAGGCGGAAGCAGGTTTCGAGGAGGGAGGCGAAGGTTTGGGGGTCGTTGAGGACGATGCCGTTGCTGGCTGCAGCTTCGAGTTGGTTGACGACGGCATCGAGGGCGTGGGTTCTGGATTCGGGTTGGGTTTTCCGGGCGGGTAGGAGTGGGGTCGGGGATGATTTGGGGTAAGGGGAGTTTGGTTTGTTGTGGCGGTGGATTTTGAGGCTGTGCTTTTCGGTTTTCTTCCTTGAGGCTGAGCATGAGAAGGATGGGACCAGGCATTGACACAGGTTCATGTTTTACTGTTCAACTAAAACTAGTGCGTGGTTGTTTTAGCATTAGCTATATAAACGTTTGGGATTTGTATCAATTTTGCCATTTGTAAAGTCGGAACCGAAAACCGAAAGGTCCCTGTACCAAAAAAAAAGTCTATAGATTGTTGTGAACATTAATCTATAGATTGTTGTAATAAATTAGTTTAATTTTATAAATTTTAAATTGAATAATTATATATCTATTTTTTTAAAATACATTGTTAATAAATTTGAAAT